CTGCCTGCAGCGGGGCCTCGCCGTGTGGCCGAGGGGCGGCGGGGGCGGGTGAGCAGGGGGCCCCGCGGGGCCTGCCGAGGGAAAACGCTCCTGCCAGAGCGGCCTGTGCAGGCCCAGCCCCAATCTGTCCCTGCAGCCCCGCAGACTCTGTGCTCTTTCCCTGGGCCGGCAGGATAGTGGGAGGGGAGGACAGGGATAGGCGGGTGCAGCCGCTACTTGTCTCATGCCCTTCTTCTCTCTTTGCAGGTGACCCCCCTTTCGGCTTGGTTCTCATCTTGGGGGGGCCCTGGCTGCTCAGCCCCCCCAAACTCCGCACTCCCTGAATCACGGCTCTAGCCAACCTGCTTCGCTGCTTCACCTGCGACCGTCTGTGTGGGGGCTGCACAACACCCGCCCCCCCGCCCCGCCAGGGCGTGGCTCTTCAGCCCGTCATGCCCAGCTGTGAGCCGGTGCCACCTGCCGCCTGCCTGCCCGCCAAGACCTTCCGCAGCTACCTGCCCCGGTGCCACCGCACCTACAGCTGCATCCACTGCCGGGCACACCTGGCCAAGCATGACGAGCTCATCTCAAAGGTATGCCCCCGGCTCCCGCTGGCCAGGGGCCCCTGCCACCCGCCACTGGGCCCTTCCTTAGTGCTGGGAGCTTCTGCATAGGAGCACCCAGCCGAGACTGCAAAACTGACAGTTTCCCCACAGCCGTGCCCTGCTAGTGCTCCCCTGAGAGTGCCCAGCTGAAGACCCAAAGTTTATGAGCTTCCCTACAGCAGTCTCTCCAGTGCTGTGACCTTTTCCACACCAGTGCCCAGCCAGGATCTTGTGAGTTGCCAGCACTGCCCATTCAGTGGCCAGGCAGGACCCCAACACTGTGAACTTTCCTGCAGCAGCACCCTGCCAGTACCCTTGGCACTTTGATCTTCTCCTCCGCAGTTCCCAGGTGAGATCTCAAAGCTGTGAGCTTCCTCATAGCAGTGCCCTACCCAATCTGTGCCTTTTTGCACTCCAGCACCCGTGGCATTGGGACCTTCACTACAGCAATACCGTGCCAATGCCAGTACCCAAAATGCTGTGAGCTTTCCCATAGCAGTGCTTGCAGGTGGAGGGGAAGGCAGGGTCACTTATGAGAGGGCAGGGTATAACTGCTGTCTTTGTTTCCACAGTCCTTCCAGGGGAGCCATGGGCGTGCCTACCTGTTCAATTCTGTGTGAGTGTCCTGTGATCCACCGTTCCTTTTGGGCTCATGGCAGGAGGCAGGGGTGTGGGCATGGAGTCTCAGGCAGGCAGAAGAAAGCAGGCAGTAAATCAAGGCTCATTTTCCTTACAGCTAGTTACTGGTTACACCCAGAATTCCCCAGGCGGGGACCAGAATGTGGCACTGCCAGGCGCTATACCTGAGCAAAAC